CAGCGGCCTGTGCCTCCTGCAGGCCCCCACGTGCCCTCCTGCCCCCGAGCATCTCCAGAAACAGGACTGGGGGTTCCCAGGGGACCCCCGCTGATGACGGACGGTGACGGCCAAGCATCACCTTCTCTCTTTGGGGGGGAGGTTTGGGATTGTTGGGTGTTTTCCTTCGGTCACTCTCAACCTTACTCGTCTTCAGTGCAGTGTTTGCAACACGAAGATCTCAACTCCTGAGCCCGTCCACCCCGCTCTGCCGCCCATGTGACCGACCCAGGGCTGGGAGCCCCACAGGGCACGGAGGCTCCCGCCTCAGCCACCAAGGGGGCCGCTGTGAGGGGAGGCAGTTCAGGCAGCAGGACCCGGACCGTCTCCCGGGGCTCAATTCACACCTTCAGCGAGGGAGCCAAGACCACGCCGGCAGCTTGGCCAGCGAGACCGCGGCTCTGAGCTGCACATGGTGAATGAAGTCGGGGCCGGGGGGCACTGGGAAGCCAGGCCGATTAGCAACAGCCACGGGTTACCGGCCTCCTAAGGCCGTCCTGTGTGCGGCCGCCTCCAGCAGCTTCCCTGAACATGTGACACACAGCGGGCGCCGAGGAAGGCACGGCGCGTACACCGGGTTTGCAACTGACGCAGGGAGAAGCGGGGAAGGGATCACTTACACGTCACTCTGATGCGTGTACACGCGGTCGAAAAGGGCCTCCGGAGCCATCCACTTGACGGGAAGCCGCCCCTGTGCGTGCGGGAGAAAGGAAACACCCACACGTTGGAACCCGTTTACACACAACAAAGACCACGCACAACAGGGACTACACGCCATGAGGACTACACACAACGAGGACTACACGCAACGGGGACTACACGCAACAGGGACTACACACAACGGGGACTACACACAACGGGGACTACACGCAACGGGGACTACACACAACGAGGACTACACGCAACGGGGACTACACGCAACGAGGACTACACGCAATGAGGACTACACGCAACGAGGACTACACGCAATGAGGACTACACGCAACAAAGACTACACACAACGGGGACTACACACAACGGGGACTACACGCAACGAGGACTACACGCAATGAGGACTACACGCAATGGGGACTACACGCAATGGGGACTACACGCAACGGGGACTACACGCAACAAAGACTACACACAACGAGGACTACACGCAATGAGGACTACACGCAATGAGGACTACACGCAATGAGGACTACACGCAATGAGGACTACACGCAATGAGGACTACACGCAATGAGGACTACACGCAATGAGGACTACACGCAATGAGGACTACACGCAATGAGGACTACACGCAATGAGGACTACACGCAATGAGGACTACACGCAATGAGGACTACACGCAATGAGGACTACACGCAATGAGGACTACACGCAATGAGGACTACACGCAATGAGGACTACACGCAATGAGGACTACACGCAATGAGGACTACACGCAATGAGGACTACACGCAATGAGGACTACACGCAATGAGGACTACACGCAATGAGGACTACACGCAATGAGGACTACACGCAATGAGGACTACACGCAATGAGGACTACACGCAATGAGGACTACACGCAATGAGGACTACACGCAATGAGGACTACACGCAACGGGGACTACACGCAACGGGGACTACACGCAAAGAGGACTACACGCAAAGAGGACTACACGCAATGACAGGGTGCGGATTGGGAAACACTGAAATGTCGTCTGTTGGACCCTCAGGGCTGTGGGTCTCCCTGACCAGCGTCTGGAGGGAACGTTGACCAGAAGCTCCGAGCCCTGCTGGTCGGTAGGAAGGTCTGGACCCAGAGCCCCCGGAGGGCGAGAGGCGGCTGACTCTCCGCGCACAGGAGTCAGTCTCACCACACGACCCGTTAACGCGTCGCTATTGCCAAGTGTGTGAGGAGCAAGACAAGGACGAGGCACCGGGGGCCCCCCCGCCCCCCAGCAGCCGCCGGCACTCACGTTCGTGGTCTTCTTGTAGTAGTCGATGTTGTTGATGTCCCTGGCCAGCCCGAAGTCGGCTATTTTCATCACGTTGTTCTCCGTCACCAGGACATTTCTGGCCGCCAAGTCTCGGTGGATACACTGAAAGGAGAGGAAAACACTCGTGTTAGGAGGCTTCAGGCCTGAAAAAGAAACAGACGCATTTCCTGTAACATCTGAGGCCGAACACTCGCTTCCTTTCCAGTTAAAAGTGAGCGTATGAGACCCTTTCCAGAGCACGGGCCGGCCGCGCCCGCTCTCTCTCCCCGGCTGCTGG